CAACCTACCTTTATTTTATTGATTGATTGATTGATTGATTGATTGATTGATTTAGGCAGGGTCGTGCTAGGTAGTTCAGGCTGCCTTCAACTCACTATGTAGCCCAGGCTGACCTTGAACTCAAGGTAATCCTCCTGCTTCTACCTCCAGAGTGCTGAGATTACAGGCGTGGGCCACCATGCCCAGTTTATAGCACACTTTTAGACTGAACAAGGAAAAGGGAGGTTACGGGCTAGAGAACTCAGTCTTTCTGGTGAAGGTCATCTCTGACATGTCCCATATTAAAAGGAAAAAGTTGAGAGCTTCTGCCCAGGAAAAGAGGATACCAAAGGCACTGGCAGATTCTATAAAGCCAGAGTTTTCAAGTCCAATCGCCTTTATAAAATATATCCCATATCACTTTAACGTCAAAATGTAGACTTTATCTTCTGCATCTGCAGCCTATCTTTGTCTATAGCACCCATTCAGCCCAGTTTCTTATTTTCCCCATACTCACCACCACTTTAGAAGACATCTTAGTTCTTCATCCTCCACAGCACAAAACACTGGACTTTACACTAATCAGGGTGCTCAGAAAAATTATTTATTGATAAATGCATCAAAATCAACAGCAAACTAGAATGTAGTCCAAAAGGAAAGATCTATCATTATGTTGCCTTGACATTAACACTATAGAAAAGAGAAGGATCACTTACTGAATGACAGTGTTCCAGATGTTTTTAGGTACAAATCCTTTTTTCTCTCCTTACAAGTGCATTCATGCAATATTTATTAATAAGTAATAATAATATACTAAGCATTTAACATATGTGACAGTTTAATCTTTAACAGGGCAGGGTGATGGTGTAGCTCAGAGGTTAGAGCTCTTGCAAAACATATGTGTGGCCTTAGGCTTGATCCTCAGCACTAAAAAAACAAGCAAACAAACAAACACAAAACTTTTTCTTTAACAACAGCCTGGAGAAATTAGTGTTAGTATTCCCATTTCTTAATAGGAGATCATTGAAATTCCAAGAGATTAAATAAGCTACCCAATGTAATATTTGATAAAATGCAAACATTTTGTACCCCATATGGAGGAAAAAATTTTATCTACTCCTACATGCATCAACTTTGTATAGATCTCTGGGAACAGTTTAGGTTATGGTTACCTTCTTAGCTCTTTGTCGTAGGCCTATTGCTGGTAATATTTGTTCACAAGTTGAAAATTCACTTTAATATCATTTTCAAGCAAATGTGATTGGGAAAATCTACCAAAAATATATGGATGCACCATACTTCAGTAGATGGTGAAAAGTTAACAGGGACATGCATTCACTGTGAATTAACTGTGTTCTTCCACAGTGGCATGACCTACCTAATTTATTTTTTTTTTGGTTTGGAGTATTTCCCACTTCGACTTAGAAACACACTGATCACCACGTTACTCCTTTTCTTTAAATTCCAGCTGCCACTGGCAACCTAGAATTACAGGATTAAACAAAGCTGCATTTTCCTTGAGTCGCTTGTGATTCTGAGCTTGAGCTGTCTTCCTATGGAGTTACTCCTGCCCTGGGTCATGGAGGAATCCAAATTGAATTTGCTGTGCCTCTACTGTGACCCTATGGGGTTTTTTAATTTTTGAAAAGTTTTTATTTACTGAAATTAGCTGACCAGTCCACAGGGGTAGTGTGAATTTGTAGAGTGTACTCAGCATTCGTTTAGATTTCTAATTCTCTTCACAGATATTTTTCCTCTAACTGGCCCTGTGAGTCATTTAGGTTCCTTGTTCATCACCAGGTTTATGCATCAAGTTTTCCTAATCCCCATTTCAAGACTAGAGACCCCGACTCTGCTCTTACACTTTAGTTTCAGCACTCAAATAGCCCACGTGGTGAGGCCTCCTCTCCCATCCTCTCGGAATATTAAAATCTAGCCTGGAGCAATGGAGAATCCACTCTGCTACCCTGGGAGCCACATACCTTCAAGGTCTTTTATTAAGTTCCTCAGTTATAAATTTAAGTAAATGTGTTTGTTTTGTTTTATTTAGCATTTCCCTGAATTTGGAGTAGAAGAGGAATTTCTCAGTCGGCTGTATTAACCCAGTGTCCCATCACAGTGGACTCTAAGAAAACTTAGAGAAAAACAAATAAACAAACAAAAACTGGAATGGTTGGGATATAGAATATAGTCTGATTTTCCCTCGTGGCACTTTCCAACGATCCTCAGTAACCTGCCTGACCTCAGTCTGTATTTCTCATACGATCCTGTTATTTTTAATCTTGGTTGAAGTAAAATTTCATGAGTTTATTCTAAAAATAAGGTTGAGCCTTAGGAAGCTGCTCAGGCTTTGGAGCCAATCATTCTATGATTGTATTTTGTAAAAGCTTTTCTCATTGTTTTCAATATCTTCCTAGCCAACTCATTAAACTGAGGTTAAAATACTATTGTCCTGTGGTGATTCTCCATACAATTTTCTTGGTCACTGTATCCTACATTCAGAGTTCTGCATTTTTATTTTTTGTACCTTTTAAAAATATATTCAATTTTGGTTTCAATTTAGATTGCTGGTTTCATGTTAAAAATAAAATAATCGTATTACCATAAAGATAATAGAAATAGAAAAACACTCATAATCCCAACCCAGTGTATATTTTAGTGTTCCTGTTAGACAGGACCTGTCCTTTCTAGTTCCTCAGTCCTTCCACTCCCACTTCCTAGCACACAGCTTCTCTTACTTTCATGACTCTCTTGGCTTCTGGAAAATAAGTTTGCAATTTGTGGCTGGAGGGGCTTTCTTGGAAGGGACCCAGGCATGGCCCTGCAGATTTTTCAAGCTTTCTTACAATGAACAAGTGTTTTGTTGATAAGAAGAAAAAAGAGAAATAGAAAAGGCTCTAACTTGAAATTAAATAGTAAATATAATTTTGAAATTAACCTGTTAATAGCTGAAAGACTTTTCAAAAAGAATGAAATCTGTGGCATTTTATATAAACCATGAGCCAGTGACCTAGTTAAGAATATAATAAAATCTACTGTCTCATAATAAAAGAAAGAGTCCAATAAAGTTATAATTGAGCCTCAACTGAGTCAATAATTATAAATTGTTGAAAATAATGATTAAGCTCCCCAAATTAAGTTTTTTTTAGAATTAAATTACTGAAATAGGTAAAAAGTTTTGGTTTAGTATTTGGCATTTTCTTACATTTCAGTTTTTTAATAATTAAAAAACCAGCACTGATCAAGCACCATAGTTTCTTCTCTTACCCATTATCCTAAGAGAAATTGTCAGATCAAGCACAATATATTCGTAGGTAGAGTACCCCCAGTCCCACCTAAATAAAATTAGCAGTCTATCCTTAAAGCAGGGTCCCTTGCTTTTCTTTCATTCTCTACTTTCCTTTGAAGTGAAACTACTTGCTTGTGTTGCTAAATTAAAATTGAGGCAAACCGATGAAAAGACCTGGATCATGGTAGCTGTCAAACCCCAGGTTGTGATTTCACTCCTGAGACACTGTGAAAGCTCCACCCCTTCTAAATTGTTGGGGCAGCAGAAAAGGTCTTCTTGCTTTTGATGGCAGAGGTCTTCTTGTTTTTGATGCTCCAGTGATTTGCAGGAGCCGAACACAAAGTGTGTGATTGTGCTCACTTTGCACCATGGTAGTCCTGAACATCTTAAGGCTCTGAGTACACCTCCCACAACGTTTCCTTCTTGGCCTGTTAGAATTTGGATGATAGGGGCTGGGGATTTAGCTCAGTGGCACAGTGCCTGCCTGGCAAGCGCAAGGTCATGAGTTCGATTCCTGGTACCGGAAAAAAACCAAAAAATAAAAAAAAAATTAAAAAACAGAATTTGGATGGTAGCACTATATGTTCATAAATACCTTGCAAGAAAAAGTCATTCAAACAAGATCTATAACCTATTATCTGAGATACTTGAAGGCTGTTATTTTTCAGAATCCACAATGTAGCTGATTTTAGGCTCCTCCTTTAGCATTCAGTAAGCACAGGGAATTGCAATTAAAACTCTGGGCTTTTCTCTGGGCTCACATGAAAGAGCAGATCCCCAGCAGGCAGCTCTCACTGCTGCCCTCAACTCATACTGCACTTCTACATGGGAGTCCCCACTTTTAGAGCAGTTTTACAGCTAGGGCTGCCCTGTGAGTTGGTGCAAGAAGCAAACTTTCCCTGACATTAAAAATTCTAAAAATTCTCCAGGACATAGCTAAAACAGTTCAAAAGGCAAATAAAAATTGCATTGAAAAGTAACAAAAATAAGGAAGTGACAAAAAGAAGTCAAAATAAAAATTAAAGTTAATTAAATGCGTCTGTTCACTTTGCAAAAATACGTCAGGGTGTTCTTTAAAAGGCACTCATGGGCTTGGGGATGCAGTGCAGTAGTAGCATGTGTGCTTAGCATGCCTGAGGACCTGGATTCAATCCCCAGAAGAGCAAACAGCAAAGCAAAACAAGCAAACAACCACAAATATGTATAAAACAAATATATATGTGTGTGTGTATATATATATATATATATATATATATATATATATATATATATATATAAATCAGTCAGAATTGATTTCCCTGCCTCTGGCTGAATCTGCACTCCCTACACCCACTTTCCCAATCTGTTTACCCCAACCTGACTCCTACTTGACCTTGGCATTCTCACCATCAGTAGCTTTCAGCTCCTGAGTGTAAGAATTTCAGGTCATTATATATTACCTTCCTAAATCTTTCCAAATGTGCACCTATGAGTATGTGTTTATAAATGTATTTCTTTATCTTAGTCCAAGTCTTTAGTCCTATTATGCCACATATAACATGAACTTGACTTTCAGCTATGAACAAAGGACATGTCAAACTAATTTCTGTGTTTTCATCCCCATAGCTTACCAGCAGTGAGTTATATTTTTAAATTAATTTATTCTCCCACCCTCCATCCTTCATACATCTCTTTCAAACAGTTTCTACATGAGTGAGTAGAAAATTCATTCTCTTCTTTTGATGTCTTCTAGCTGCAGATGGAACTGGAACAAGAATACCAAGACAAGTTCAAGAGATTACCCCTGGAGATTTTGGAGTTCGTGCAGGAAGCTATGAAAGGGAAGATCAGTGAAGACAGCAATCATGGCTCTGCCCCTGCTTCTTGGGCCTTGGACCCTGGAAAAGTGAATCACAAGACTCCCTCCAGTGAGGAAGTAGAAGGAGAGAACCCAGGGAAGGAGTTTGATACTCCTCTGTGATGGTTCCTGCCAGTCCTTCAGGGTGTGCATGGCCATTCAAGCTCCATCAGACTCTCATACTGCAAAGATCACTGCCCAGGACCATCTTCCTAAGAAGCATCTTTTAGCCTAAAATCCACACCCTAGGGAGAGTTCTGGAAGGTTCCATGATGAGACCCCATTCCCAGGCTCCATGTGTCATGTGGAAACTACTGCAGGTCTACTAGTGAAGAATGCATGTATGTGGGATTTTTGTTTTCGTTCCAATAGTAAATTCAAAGCAAGCAACTTGCAGGCACCATGGAACATTTAATGAAGGATAGTGTATTCTTTGAGGAAATTTTGAGCTTGTGTTTTTATTTGAAGCTCTGGTGTAAAGTATTTCGAAGTAATAGAAATAGTTTGAGAAATTCATAGCACTATTTAACACTATTGAACACCCAACTTTGTGCATTTTTTTTCTTAACTGCCCCTCAACTTCATATCCTCAAGATTACGTGCATATTATATTTGTTCATTCTTTGCTTGGCAAGCACTGGTGGCTTGCAGTTTGCTAGTTTATTTATCATAGAGGCATCAGTGTATTTGTTAATGACATGGCTTTATTAAATACTATAGTGATTCAAATAAGCTCTTTTCTTTTATTTTTTTTTTTAATCACTTGATTGTATCCTTGCTGAGTGAAGCCATCCCAAGATTCAGCAATATGGATTGTGCATTTAGCTGCATGAGCAATTCAGGCATTGTGCTATCCAAATTGACTGTTTGCTCTCAAAGTCTGGATATGCATTAGCTGTTGGCCTGAAATGATCAAATAGCTACTAAGTGTCTGTTCTGTTGAATAAAAAGAATTGAGCTGGTATATGTTAAGCAGAAATTCAATCAGAAGGAACAGGTTCCAGTGGTTATTTTGCTGTCTGACATTTTTTATGGTTCATTTATTTTTAATATAGAGAGGAAGATGGAATATTTATCTAAAGAATACACAGGCCATGTATAAATGATATATATTATCTCCATGTATATATGTATGTACTCCTCCATATAAGTGGATACACACAGGCATGTGTGTGTGCAGCATGCATGTAGATGTGTATTTATTAATTGGCAATGACCCAAATATCTTCCACAAGATTTAAAAGCAAATTAAAGGATAAGTGGGTGGAAAAAAAAGGGGTCAAATATCTGGATTACATGGATATTAAAATATATAGAAATAAATTTTATAATCTGATGGAACTGTTGATGTAGATTTAGAATTTAGAATATGATAAACTTTTTGCGGGAACAAAAATTGGATATTAAGCTTATTTAAATGGTCAGAATATACAAAAATGTATAGGAGAGTGATACAAAAATTTATTAATATCTTCCATAATTTTTAAATCTCAGTGATTTCTACTTCGTTCTAACATTTAAAAAAACTTTCATTAGACATTTAGTATATACATTTCATTCTGTCTTTTTAAAGTCCTATTTTAAGTGGCATAAGAAAAATTATATCCTGGTAAAACTGATCAAAACCATTATTGAAAGGTCTTAAATAGAAAGAATAACTATAGAAAAATATAAGTTAGGAGATGATGCAAAGAACAGTGAAGTTAAAGTCCAGAAGCAAGATGCTACAGCTTATTTTACTTTAAAATAAACCTTTCTGATTGTAACTTAGCAAAACATTTTATAATGCAAAAACCAGTTGTGTCCTGAAAATTGTGTTTCAAGAATTTAATATTTTTATGAAAATTATTTTATTTAACTTTAAGCAATAACTAGGAATTACAATTAAGTTTTAATCAAAATGAAAGCTTATTTCAAACATTAAGGAAGAGTGTTTGATTAAAAAAAAACACATCTAGTGTGACACGAGGGGAAAATCACCTCCTCTTTGAGATGACTATATTTTGATCTGAAAAATTTAGAGTGTTAATTAAATACTTAATAAAAATTGAACTTCCATGGAAAGGAAACTCTTTTGTAAATCATTCTACTTTTGCACTTTGAAGGAAGGCATTAAGCATAAAGAAGCAAGAATGGTCAAAATCGAATGCTGCATTTTTATAATCAAAATTACAGAGTGTCTAAAATGGCAGAAGAATGAACTAAAAGCATTCATAACCAAACACAATGGTAATTATTACAGACTATTATCACATTTTAGTCCAGAGATAGACTAAGATTGAACAAGGCTAAACTCTGACTTAGGCTAAACTGTTTTGGTAGTTGGGTTTCATTTTCTTAGTGATTCTAGTCATTTTACAATACGTTTGTATTTGGCCATTTACTGTAATCACATTTTTTATATCTGTACAATGACACTTTTTGCAGTTGTGGGGTAGTGTGTAACACTGTGCATCTTACATTATTGAAACTACTACAGTGATACTGTCATTTAATAATAATACTACTTGAAAGTAGACAAAGGTAAAGAAAAAGGGTCTATATGATGTGCAGTTTTGTGCCTTTATGTATTTGCCTTGTTCTTTGTTGAATGTGTGAAATTCTGTACTGTGTTTTTTCCTAAAATAGAAAGTAGAGTTGTATAATAAATTAGACTGTGTCCCTGACACCTTTACACTACTGAGAATAGCGTGATTTTGGCTGTGTAACCCAATTCTCAAAATTCTAATGACATGCCATGTGTTTTGGTTTTTAACATTTCATTTTAATACTTCATTACTACCATGCATTAATTAATACTCCTGTAGTAAATAAAGTCATTAAATAATTCCAAAAGAAAGGGCCATTGCTTGCATTCCTTTGAATTTAATGTTGAGCTTGTGCACTGTATTAATATTGTTCGTGATGGATTCGACATTGTGACTTTTGCCTTTTAAGAAGAAAAAAAAAAAGAGTAGGACAAAGTATTTGAAGCTCTTAAAATGTACATATTTTGGTTGTTCTCTCTAGAATTATTTAAAATGCATAATTCACATTTTTGTAATAATTCTATGCAATTTTGTGGCATGATGTTTCTTCCACTTGTAATTTTATGTGCTTTCATCACAAATCCAAAGGAAAAAATAAAAATTTCTTAACACACCCAGCTGCTATCTCTTGGTGTCCAAGCCAACCTTCTCTTGACCAGGGAGATCCTTGAAGGAGACATTATGCTAGGCTTGGGGGCCTGAAAAGCTTGTGCCAGCGGGACAGTTGTCATTGGTGTGACTCCACCTCGCTCCATGCAGGAGTGCCACTGCACTTGCCGTTGCTTCCAGAACAGGAATAGCAACTTCTTTCCTTCCTCCTTCCCTCCCTCCCTCCCTTCCTCTTTCCCTCTTTCTCTTCCTTTCTCCCTTTTTTCCTAAGCTAAGGAAGGCAAAATAGGAAAAGATTTTTTTTTCTTGACAAATAGTGGAAATAACAAGAACTAACAAAGTACTTGATGTAAGTTAGATCACCTGCAACATTAATAGGCAGAGAATGCACAAGCAAGTTCTATGTGAATGTCCCAGGGATACCCCAAATACAGTGTATTAGTTGCCTATTGCTAGGTTGTAAATTACTTCAAAATCTAGTGGCTCCAAATAACAAGAAGGATCTCTTATCTCTGCCAGCCTTTGCAGGGTCAGGAATTCGGGCAGGGCACAGCAGAGATGATTTTTCTCTGCTCCACGATCTCTGAGCCTTCAATTGGAAAATTTGAAGGCTTGGGGCTGGAATTCAGTCACATATCTTGTGGTTAGTGTGTCATCTAGAAGACTAGCTGTTGCTGTGGGCTGGAACACTCACACATTCCCTCCCTGTGTGGCCTGGGATTTCTCACAAAATCGTAGTTGGATTCCAAAGCTGAGCCTCTCAAGAGAGCTAGATAGGAACTGTCAACACTTTTAGGACCAAGTCTTGAAGTTACACATATCAATTATGCCTGAGTCTTTCTTTTCCTTGGTGCTGACACAAACCCCTTCTCAGATTCTAGGTGAAGGAACAAAGGTAGACCCCATCGCACCTTGGGGCAGTATTGATCTCTGATGAAGAACATGAGCATTGGAATAAATATGAAGGCATGGCTATCTTTGATAAATACGAGAAGCATCATAGGGTATAACCAAACTGAATTTGTGTTACCCTTAAAGCTGATCCACCTCCTTTATATTCTCCATCAGTGAACAAAACTAGTATTGATCCAGTTCCCCAAGACAAAACATTGCTCAGGCATCTCATGTTCCCTCATCCCTTTAGGGTAAATCACCAAGTTGGATGAATTCTCACCCTGAGATAACCCTCAAACTAATTTGGTTTCTCTCCCCCTCATGAAGTTAATCCTGATTTGCCAGCTTCATTGGATCAAGAAATACCTAAAAGACGAATAAAGTTGATATGTAGGCATAAGTGTGGGTGGGTCATGAAGGCATAACCTTGCTCTACTTCCTGCCCACTGTAAACTAAGCAGCTTTATTTCTTTTTTTTTGGGGGGGGGGGTTCTCCGGTACTGGGAACCGAACTCACGACCTTGACTTGCCAGGCAGGCGCTTTGCCGCTGAGCTAAATCCCCAGCCCCTAAGCAGCTTTATTTCATCATGCCCTTACCCCATGATATTTCTGTGTTGGAACCAGCTGACCAGGAACTGAATCCTCTGTGATCGTAAGCCAAACTAAGCCTATTCTCCTTTATATTGTGGCTGTTGAGTACTGTGTTTCAGCAACAAGAAAGCTAATATTCCCCTGTTCTCCTACCATCTCCTCCCACCTGACAAGGGTCTCCTAAATAGTTGTGAAGTATTCATTTCCTCATATTGTAGCTAAACTGGTAACACAAAAATAAAAGGGGGTTAAAAGCCTTTAACTGATCCCAACTCTTCTCAGGATAAAATCTAAACTGTTTCATAAATATCTGAGGTACTACATGAGGTGTTTCTTCCATAGCTTTCCAGCTCAGTGTCTTTATATGCCTCCAACCCCACACTTCAGCATTATGGACTGGACTATCCTGCTTTGTGGCCTTTTACATTACAATGCCCTCAATTATTTAGACCTTTCCTTTTTGTTTCCCTTTCTCTTCAATGCCTTGTCCAAAAAACACACAGCAACTCTCATGTACAAATATTGCCCTAGTTCCCCTCTTTCCCTAGCTAGCTCCTATTTATTTATTTGTACCTAAATTCTAGATACATTTCTTATCTCATTCCTATGTATAGCTTTGCTCCAGGCAGTCTTCCTTGATCAACATAAGCTTCTATAAGGCTCCTTCTCTGTGCTCCCATTGCATTTTGTATTAATTATCTACTGCTGCATAACAAAGAGCAAAATTTAGAGAATATAGCCACTACTTACAATTGGTTTGGAGCCAATAAACAGGAGCACAAACAGGAGGCTTGGGTGATCTGAGCTGGGCTTGGCTGTTCTCATTTGGGTTTATCCATGCAGCTGCTGTAAGCTAGGAGTTGGCTGGTGGCTGCTCCTCGATTGCTCTTTCATGTGTCTGGAACAATAGAGCTGACTTGACTCTTTTTTCTGATTCCACATTCTGCAGAAAATTTACTGTGGCCTTTTCGCATGTCAATGGTAGGATCCAAAGAAAACACAAAACTGCTGATGGTTTTTGAAATCAAAACTGAGAATCACACACCATTTTTTCTACCACATGTTAATGGGGTGGGCTGTTATGGTTTAGATCTAAAATGTCCTGTTTTGTCCATGTCCTCAGACATTGCAGGAAATGGAGACTAAGAGCAGTGGACTCATTGATCTGATGGAGGAGATTTCAAAGCGATGTAACATCCAGGATGTGCAGTGGCTACTGCTGACTCCTTTTATACAAATCTACAGCAAGAACCAGGGACAATAAGCAGATGTAAAAAAATTGTGGCTTCACCAGAAAAGAAGTGCCTGTAAAGCTGAAGAACAAGGAGAATATGGTTGCTGAAAAGATTAGCTGTAAAAAGAAGCCAATTACTTTGCATCAAGACACTAGAAAAGATGGCTTGAAGTCATCTCAGAACTGGCCAGATTCCACCTTTCACAGGCCTAGTAGGTGTAAAAGGGAAACACTTTTCTTTGAGAATAGAGCCCCAGGGAGCCCAGTTCATTCAGGGTATTTCCCAGAGTCCAGCCATCCAGGTACTCAAAGGCCTCTGCAGTTATGCGCCAAGGGGTCCAGCTATTGCTTGGGTAACAGGCAGACACTGGCATCATCTATATTCTACAGGCATGCAGAATGCAAATATTATGGGATGAGAGAAAATTCCAATAAGATTTCTAGGAATCTTCCCTGCCTTAACAGGGCAGGGCAGGAGCCCCTAAGAGAGCAGTGCATAAAACTGAAAGTGGTGCCAAAAGTGCAGTGGAGACCCCAGGAAGTTGGAGATGCCAGGAATGTAGACAATTTGCTGAGGAAAGTTGCAGGCAGTGGATGGAACAAGCTGAAGAGAGAGACCATGTGAGCTGCAACTGACAAGGCCACAGGGGCAAGGCTTGCCCAAGCCCCTTGGAGCTCACATTTCAGATCTTTAATACTATAACTTTTAATATTTGTCCTGCTTCTTTTCAGTCTTGCTTTAGTTCCATTACTTTCTGTCCCCTCCCTTTTCTTCCTTTTTATAAAGAGCACTAGCTCTAGCCATTGCATGTTTGAAGTATTCAGTTTTTAAAACTTCTATAAAGGCTTACAACTAAGCATTTGCCTTGAATCTCAGAGGAAACTTTGGACTTGAACTTTTCAGCAATGCTGGAGCTGTTAAGACTTTGGAAACTCTTAGAATAAATTGGATTGTATTATGGTAGTATTATAATCATCTGCAAATTCATCCATTGATTAGTTCAGTATTTGACTGTGTTGTGAGGAGGTAGGGCCTGACTGGGGAAGGCAGGTCACTGGGGATAAGATTTGAAAGGATGTATTCTTGTCCCAATCTCCTCCCTTCTCTCTCATTCTTGGCTGCTATGTGATAAATGGCTTTCCTTCACCATTCCATTCTGCCATATCCATTACTGCGTTGAAGGGAGCCAACCATGGACTAAATCCACTGACCCTATGAGCCAAAATAAGCCTTTCCTCTTTTAAGTACTAGGTAGTACTTTGTCCCATCAATGCGAGATTGACTAATACAAAAGCCAACAAGCTAGCCCAGATAGGAAATGACAGGAAATGACAATGTTACCAGGGAAAAGATGTGAATGTGAGGTTGTTACAGTGGTGACTGTAAAAGGAAATAATCCGCAAAACACCCTGTACCTTTTTCCAAATAAAGAGCACATGCCAATTCCAACTTAACTGCCCCTTATTTAAATATATTCTCCATTGACACCTTTGATGTAGATGTTATGACTCATCAACTAAATCCCCACACTCACTATAAAGTGATCACTGGCTAATATTACATTTATGGTGAATAAATTTACTTGCTCATTTAGATATCAGTGCTAAGGTCAAGGAAAACATAAACAGTTGATATCTAAATAATAAATGCCATTAACTCAAAACTACATTGTTGTTCAGACACCTCTTAATTCAGAAACTCTACAAAAAGTAAGGCCAAAGTGAATGGGGACCCCATCCCTTGTCTTTGACTTGCAGTATCAACCCCAAAACACAAAGCAGTTTGTGACTGAGAGAAAGGGGTTCTGCGAGACAGGTGGAGAAAGTGACTCACACTTTGGACCCCAGGGGTACCAACAAGTCTCTTCATCCCACAAAAGAAAAAGCGGGAGACATTTTTGCCCCTAACATGCATGTCCAGTCATTACTTTGGTTGTTGTTAAAATTTATTTACTAGTAGCAGCTTCACTGAGCAATTATTCCTACACTATTGTGAAGTACAGACTTCACTAGTTTTTAGTATAGTCACAGAGTCACTCGTCAGTCATTGCTGTCTCACTCCAAAACATTTTTATCACCCCAAAAGGAAACTCCTTACATATGAACAGTCATTCCCTATCACCTCCCATTCCTTGCTCCTCTCTCTAGCTTCTGGAAACCAAAAATCTACTTCCTTTCTTTGTGGGTTGGTTGGACACTTCATAAACTTATGTTGATATACTATGTGGCCATTTGTGTCTGACTTCTTTTACTTAGTATAAATTTTTCATGGTTCACCCAGGTTGTAG